ATGCCCCCATAAGATGCCAGTGTGCCACAGGTCCCCAGATATGCATTCTGTACATAAAAGATGCCCCCATAAGATGCCAGTGTGCCACAGGTCCCCAGATATGCATTCTGTACATAAAAGATGCCCCCATAAGATGCCAGTGTGCCACAGGTCCCCAGATTTAAATTCTGTACATAAAAGATGCCCCCATAAGATGCCAGTAAGCCACAGGTCCCCAGCTATGTACTATACAAAACAATATCCACATAACTTGTCGCACTCCTTATAGGATATCCCAAAAGTAACGGGTGCTCGTGATAACTGCAGATGGCGCCGCTCACAACAGAACTCCAATACAGATGTCACTAGCACACCGGCACCAAGATTCCATGTTAGTGCCAATCCATTTTATTGATAGTTGCCATTAAAACGACAAGCGCTCTCGGCCCTGCACGGCCCCCTTCATCAGGCAACGAAATGACATTGCATAAAAGTACCACAACCTTTATATAGACATTCCAGAATGTCATTTCTGAGCCTGATGAAAGGGTTTGAATGACAACTATCAATAAAATGGATTTTGCACTAACATGGAATCTTAGTGCCGGTGACATCTGTATTGGAGGATATGTACTATTGCACATAAAAGATGTCACAGGTTACCTGTGGCATTTTTGTATAGGGGGAGATTTTATGTGCTATACTAACCCCCCCCCCCCCCCCTTTTTTTTTTTTTTTTTTTCATAAATATTTGTCATAATGTCTGCCGCCTTCCAGCCACAATAATGTGCCTGGGTGTGAGGTGGGCTGACACCCAGGCACAGGATTCCAAAACCGAACTGCCCTGGTGAATCCCGGATGGGTGGCAACCCTAGCTATGACACCAGCGTCCATAGCAACGAATGACTAAAGCGCGGGGGGGGCTACATTTGTAATGTGTACAGCGATGTGCTTAATAAATATGGTGGGGTCCTGGTAGTCTGGGTGCTATGGTCAACAAGACATTTTCTTATTACACTCTATAGTTGACTGGTGGCTATTCCCCTTAAGGACACTAGAGGGAGCTCTGGCATCACGGACCCTTAACCAAGGGAAGAATTAGCACGGAACCTTTATATGCTGGTTACTAGGGGAAGAATTAACACGGAACCTTTGTATGCTGGTTAATAGGGGTGGAATTAGCAAGGAACCTTTGTATGCTGGTTACTAAAGGAAGAATTAGCACGGAACCTTTGTATGCTGGTTATTAGGGGAAGAATTAGCACGGAACCTTTGTATGCTGGTTACTAAAGGAAGAATTAGCACGGAACCTTTGTATGCTGGTTATTAGGGGAAGAATTAACACGGAGCCTTTGTATGCTGGTTACTAGCGGAAGAATTAGCACGGAACCTTTGTATGCTGGTTACTAGCGGAAGAATTAGCACGGAACCTTTGTATGCTGGTTACGAGGGGAAGAATTAGTGGAGAGACAGGATATTGTGTGCGGGCAGCAGGAAGTTGAGTGTGGAAGAAGGTGGTGTTGCTGGTGCTGAGGTCAGGTATGTAATGTATATGTGGAGGAGAAGTTAAAGGAACACTACACATACAGCCTGGCCTGTGAGTAACAAGGAGCTCTGTATGAGTGAGAGGTGTCATGTCAGCCTGTCGCCCACAAGCCTCATGCATGCAGCTTCTATTACTGTTGCAGCATTGTTTTCATTAAGTGAAAGCTGTGTGAAGGCCTCATTCACACAAATATTTTTATGTGACATGGCAATAGTGTGACTTAAAGTGAACGTATCCTTTGGAAAGTGGGTACTGCACCTCTGAAATGCAGTCCGCAGTGGATCGCTTTTAATGGGCTGTTAAGCCCCTTGCAGGTTCGTTTTCCTTCGATCCTTACCGCAAAACAAGGTTGCAGTGCAGTACTGCTGACTTCAATGGGCACATTTGGCAAGTGGCATGCCATGTTAAATGTTCTGCAGTGCAGAAGGAAAAAGGCATAAATGGTAATTTGCAGGTAGGTGATTGGGTGCTGGAAAAAAAAATGGATCAACTGTCTGTCTGTCCCTCCCCTTTCTAGCCTAATTTATTTCTAACACTTTCAGCTGCTACAAGTAACACATTATATGCAGCTTCATGTTTGCAACATTGCCTTTCTACCAGTTTTGCCTGGTCCCCTGATCGCTGGCCCTGCTTTCTGGTTTTAGGGAGGCTCCTTGACTTGCAGGGTCCTACGGAACCCCGTTGTAGCCACCCTTTTGTGGTGCTCTTGGGAGAGGACTACAAGCAAACGTGATGACACTTCCTGTGCCCACATGAACGGGCAGCCCAAGAGGGCTGGATACAGAAGATGAACCTCTGCTGATCCTCCAAGGGTTATTTTAAAGCAGCTTGCATGGGGCACACGTGTGTGTGATAGTACTATAAATGTAATCCCAAGGGGGGGGGATCAGATGACTTTCTGTAAAGTTAGGTGTGCAGGGAAGCTGCTTAGAGGAAGACAGAGGCTGTTTTTGTAACAGATTAAGTTATGTTTCTCAACACTTTTTGAAGCAACCATTAATTGATTGGTCTATATAGATATCAAAAGGCTTTAGTCTTACTTTAATGGACGACTTATATATTTGTGGTGCATTAAGGCAGCTCATTAAAACAAGCATTCAGTGTAGGGGGCCGGCAGAGCCTGCAGTTGGGCTTTAATTACCGACTAGGGGAAAAGAAAGGCTTATTATACACAATATTTCCATTACATATTTTTTTTATTATCAGACCAGAGTTCTTAATTTAAAAAAGGTTCTTGCTAATCCGCAGTGTATTTTTGGGTTATAATGTCTTTTGAATCCATTTGTTTTGCAGCTGGAGTGCCCTGACCTATGTCAAGATGTGGCTCACAAGACTGATGCCCCACTTGAGTAGAGCCACAAGGCTAGCAGGTAATTGGGTGAAGCCTTCCACCATTTTGCACAACTCAACCTCCTGACAAGTTGGCTCTGATAAAATGTGCTTTGTAAATACCTTTTTGTTACCGGTCTTTTTATGTCCTGCTTGTACAGAAGATTGCCTCGTTACCAGTGGTAAATGTCAAATTTTTGTTTGCCATTGTGGAACTTAAACACTAGTCATACACTGCTTGTTTTTTGTTTTGTTTTTCTTCCTGATCAGCCCATGAACAAGAGAAGATCAGTTGATTGATCTTCACTGTAATCAGGCAGCTGTGACTGCCTGATTACAGTGGCTCTGCCGAACAGATACAAACATTTGACACTGTTTGGTCGATAATTTTTCAATTTTCTTAGTTGATTCATAAATGGACTTTTGTCAAGCTGGGTGGTTCCTGCAGCGCTAACTAAGACATGTGCCAGCAATGTACACCAAGTATACATGAGGCAGGCATATGCAGTTGCTGTATACGAACACAAAAACGTAAATTTTTTTGTTCACTTTCCTCTTCATCTTCTCATGGAAATGGCTGCAATTGTGCTTTGCAGGTAATGTGTCTATAGTACAAGTGACCTCTCCACCCCCTATTTATTAGTATTCATAGTGGCAACCCACACCATCCCCAGAGAGTGTATTGTGTGCAAAGGCAGAGCTGCTGTTTACTGATCGTGTTACAATGAATAACAGGGACGGGGAGAGCTGTTTAGAGTTTTTGTATCTGACTTTGGTGCCAGGCTGAGTTTCCTGTGGAGAAACTTTTGAATTTCTAGGCTTCAGCCCTAATAAAAACTTAATTAAACAAATGAAGAAAGCCTGCAATGTGAGTCATGAAAATGTGCACACATATACATCATTACTGCTCCTCTTCATTACCACAGTAAATACTAATCACTTACAAAGGTGAATATGGACTTTAAGGCCGACATCACACTTGTGATGGGGTCACTGGTGAGAAGTGACAGGTTCGCAATAATCTGCAGGAAGAACACTCACCTTCTTGTATGTGTTGCTTGCCCACTGGATCAGGGAGGCATCCCTCCCTCAGGGCTGAAAATGTTGCTGAATGTAAGTCACCAGTGACATAACAACACCTCACACATCCAGAAGTGAGGGAGTGATGCATCGCGTCCTTTATAGCAATCCTGTGGCAGGCAAGAACTCAGCAGTGTCAGGATCAGAATTGTGTTATCCACCGAGGTTCAGTTACACAGAAAGAAAATTGATATAGCTAGTAGTAGCTAGTCACATTCAGCTAGATTTATTTGAGGTCCAGCGGGGACGACAAAGAGCAGGAAGTGTGTTATTGGCAGTATTACCAAGTGAAGATAAAGGGAAAATGCCTGAAAGAAGAAAACTAATACAGCCACCTCATTTAGTGAATGGCAAGCTACAATGTATTACATTTTTGGTTTTAGATAAGCTTTAACAATTTTGTTATGGCTTTGTTATCCTTGTAATGACATTAAAATGCACACAAGGAACTTTTAGAGACAACAATATTTCCATATGAATGCCTTTTTGATGCTTGCACTAGCCTTGTGCATTACAGGCTTTGGTAACCCTTCTCTGTGTTCTAGGATGTATGATGCCACGAGGCCTCACCACAAGCCACAAGAGCTTTTTCGCTAGTTACAGCACACGTCAGCCACAGAAACTGCACACTTCCCCTCCTGCCTGGTGCATTCTGGAAACTGAGCTGGATGATTTGTTGGTTCCTCGAATGATGTCTATCACTCCCCTGGAGAGCTTGCTTTCCTCTCGTTACTCGCTGCCCAAACCTGACGCCTCCAGTATTCAGGAGGAGCCTGAAGACCATTTAAAGATCTATGATTGCCCTACTTCTCAGGACACTGACCACACGGGTGAGCAAAGCGGGCACAGGGAAATAGTTCAGTGCAAGAACATCCTTAAGATCCGAAGGAGGAAGATGAACAAACACAAGTACAAAAAGCTGCAGAAGCGCACAAAGTTTTTGCGGAAGAAGGTCCTTCAGAGGCGCAATGTAAAGAAACAGGTGAGGAGCTCGAGTTCTTCATGCCATTATCTTTAATAATGGAGTCAAAATTCAGCCGGAAATAAAGGTCTTCTGGTAGTTGTGAATAAGCCATCCTTAGGTTTAGTATGTAGGAGTTGGTATAGTCACTCTGTATCAGTGTCACACATGGCATTATCATGATTTTAGGTACACACACCAGGGGGGTATACTATACTTGATTTCAGAATTATAAAATTCCTGCAGTATAAGGTAGAATTTATTAATTCATTTACATTCTTTGAATTGGAGAATTCTGAAGGGGGTTTCAATATTTTTTTTATATTTTGTTTTCACAAAATAATGAATCCTGCAAGGGTAGAGGAAGCATGCAGTCTAAACATTGGAGATGCAAGTGTCCACACACCACACCACACACACCCCCATTACAGATTTTTTGTAAACCTGTGATGAGAGAAACCGAGCGGTTGCCATTGCTGTCGCCCTATTCTGAAAATGCTAGCTGCTTGGCTGTCATGCTGATATATTTCGTTCTTTGAGTTACCGATCTGCAACAAGCATGCAGGTCAGAGCTCTGACTTCAGTCTGATTTCAACTGCTGCTTGTTCTACATTAGAGGCTCCGAATGTGTTTAAGTCAGAGACTCTGCGTTACAGCCAGACAACTAGAATGTTTTATCAGGAGGTTGGTAATTGCAAAATCCAGGTTTCTCTCGGCATAGATTTCCTTCACGACAACTGTAGATACCAGGAACAGCAGCATGTACATTTATTAGGCCTTTATCCTCCCCACCCAGAATCCGAGCATAGGATAGCATGACTTCAGTAGTGGGCGTATATGTGAGTCTGCTCTCCTCCTCCATTGAAGCTCCTGCACCCCTTTCCCATGGCTGCAGCCTGACCTCCTGCTGGGGCCCCAATGCATGCTGTTTCTTGTAGTTACCCTGCTGAACAGGTTGCATTGTCCCTGCTGGCTCCTTTGTTATGGAAGTTTCCCCGGACACGCCTGGCGGACACTCTCACCTTCATGTCGTTCATGATGGTCTGGACGAGTCCTCCAAGCGCTGCAATCCTTCCCCTTGTACGCTTCCACGGCTCCTGTCCTGGGGTTGCCTCCCATCTGCCTGTCGCCGTGACTCAGGTCGGAACATCGGGTCTTGCAAATACTCGGTATCGCCGCCGATACCGATGCTTGTATCGGTATCAGTGCATCCCTAATATATAGTGATAAAAAAAACTACTCACATATACACATGATGAAGACAAGCGATATAAAATACCATACATGCAGGGGAGAACCAAAGGGTCTGACGCGTTTCGGAGGGATCACCCAGCACTCGCCAGCACTGAATCAAAAATTAGGAGTGGGCACTGGGACACGAGAAATCTTCTAACAGGGGAATACTTGTTGCTAGGGATGCACCAATACTAGTTTTGGTACTGGTGCTGATACCAAGTATTTGGGTGAGTACTCGTACTTGTTCTCACCCAAATGCTCCCGATACTTATGCCGGAACTTCTGGTATCAGGAAGCCGGTGGCGAGTCGTCACACGTCGCCTGGCTTCCTGATTTGCCTGGGCAACCAGCTCCATGCTCCCTCGTCACTTGGGAGCTGGCTTCCCGGCCAATCAGGAAGCTGGACAGTGTGTAATAACTCGCTTCCTGATTTGGCCAGCTTCGCGACCAATCAGGAATAGGCAGAATCAGGCACTGCGCCATACCAGTCATTGCATGCCGCCCGACTTCCTTAATAGGACATCTGGTATCTGTATTAGTTATCGGCGAGTACCAAAAAAAATAAATACCGGTACTCGGTACAGAAAAACCGATATTGGAGCATCCCTACCTGTTGCAGTGACAATTGTCCAAAATAAGCTTTCCCTTACATAAGAGAGATCTCTTCTCACTACCTGTTGTGTCTAGAGACAGGAAGTGAAGGAAAATGTCCCCAAACAATTTATTTGGCACAGATTGTGTGACTTTTAATGCAACATTGTTGCAGTTCACATTTTCTGTTCAAACCGTTCAAAGTATTCCATAAATCAGTGTTCTGTGCGCCAAATATTTGTCGCACCATATGTAATTTGTTGTGTCTCTGTGTTGAGGGGGCCATCTTGGTAGAGACAGGGTTTTGCTTCCTCATGCGAGAGCTTCCAGCAAGGAGAACAGTGAGCAGCACAGTAGTGGCATCTCTAAATCTGAGACTAGTAGTCACAGGCAGCAGTGCCTTAGATCTCACACTGCAGATATACAACTATGAGGATGTTGGCACTGCTTCATACCAGGAAGTGCTCTGCTATTTTTCAGAAGGAAGTACAGACGGAAGGTACATATTTAGGATACAGCTTAGGCACAATTAACATTTTTAAATTATCCCTACAACATAGCGAATCTTCACTTTTCAAGTTCAACTCCATTTTATATAATATATACAATTGTGGTTGTCTGCATGACATACACTGTATCATCATTCACAATTCATAACTAGGCATAAACTAGTGTGATAAATATGTTGTGACTGCGGTCATCCTATAATTTTATAGTACATCATTCTCCTGGAATAGAAGTGGTTGTGTCGGATTTTAGACATTTGTATTTTATTTTTATTTTTTTTTATACAGAAAAGGTTTGAAAAAGATTTGGATCGTATCTGGAGGAAGGCGGGCCTAAGAAAAGCACCTGAAGGATTTGTAATGCCGAATATATTTATAAAGAGTTCATGACCAGAGAACAAGGATGTTAAATTTTAGTGTTTATTGTATTATAATAAATCCGATATTTACAAACGTTACACCCCCTTTTTTTTCTTCTTCTGAAATCTTGTTTTTAGGTACAATCAGATTTTATTGAGATTTTCCATATACAAAGAATATATATCGAAGAATAAGCATACACAGAAAAACATTGGTCACAATGAAATCTTGTTTTTATCGCCTATTGGTCATAAAATACTGAACAGTGATACAGGTTCATGGGTGTGTAATTAGTCTGTTTACAAGCACAGGACATGCTCATTGTACTTTTTTAGGTCTTATTTACATGAGCAAGCATGTCCATGCAGAAACCTGCACCCAGGAGTGACCGCTCGTGCATGCAGTCGCCTCTATAAAGCTGGCCATACACCTAGAGATTATCTGCAGATGGAAAAAGTGCAACAGATTCCTCCATCTACGCTAAACTGTGTGTATGGAGCAATCTCCCACTGGGCCAAGATAATCGGCCCCACTTGCTCTCAAAATACCTAAACAATCTGATTGGATGCAGATATTGTTCAGGTATTTTGAGAGCCAGCGGGGCCGACTAGATAGATACTGAAGCTTGGCCCAGTGGGAGATTCCTCCATCCACACAGTTTAGCGTAGATGGAGGAATCTGTTGCACTTTTCCCCACTGACCATAGAAAATCTCTAGGTGTATGGCCAGCTTTAGGGGGATTCACCCTCCTATTTGTCCTGGTGATCATTACCACTAAAAGTGAAAGAAAATCCCAAATTTTGGGTTATCATCAGAATAGGAGTAGATGAGAAATCTTCCAATGGGGACACTAGTTCTAGTGACCCTGCTGATCACCAGAGAATTCCTTTCACTTCCTGTTGTGGCTGTTGGACCAGAAGTGAAGGGTAATCACCCCAATGGGACACATAGCAAAACGAAATAGGTTTTATAACCCTCCCGCCTATTCAAAACTAAAAAATGTTTTAGCTTCCATACTACTTTTAAGTCTAAGGATGTGTTTTAGTCAAGAGCCTGAAAGCTAAACACAATTCATATATCCTTGCAGGTATTTTATCTACTTTGTATCCTTCATTTATATAGAGATGACAGCGGTTTCCCGTGTACACAATACCATTGGAAGGTTGAATGTTCTGCGCTATGAAACAGACCCAAAGGGGGAGATTTCACAGAGAGTAAGTGTTAACCGCAAGCTGCTGAAACTAAGGCCAGATAAGCCTCACAAAATGGTTTTAGAATAGTGAGCGCTATGGGTCTCCATGGACTTAGCCATACCTTGATAAAGTCAGGTGACGAAACGCGTCGGAGGCGGGCCTGTTGCTTGGGACACATCCACAGTCTAAGGATTACTGGCTCTACAGCAGACTTGCCAGTTTTTGCGGTTTTTATATGTCATATGCAATGACTCAAAGTTTAAACGTTTAATGCACTATGAGCCCTTTGCCTGCTCTCTCTCCTCTTCTAACTTTTCTTGGATCCAAAACACCCACGCTCGGAGAGACTAAACATTAGGACGTACTCCCGGAAGCAATCCAGAGGGCATCTTACCATCACCAGGGGATTTTTACTATCGGGATACCGACATCTCTTTTTGGGACCAGGACCGAAAGTATACTGCAAGATCCCACGGAAGGACGGAGCAAAGACCATCTCCTTTCGGCCACCACGGTGGAAGAGAAAGCTGACTCCCTCCCGGCATCTGGTGAGTGTAAGCCCTACGGGGACCCATCGCTTCTCCGACACATCATCCCCCAGGATACGATCATCTTGGATATACACATTCAAGTTTTTGCCCCTTTTAGATTGGAGTACTTTTGGACACTATTTAACATCAAAGTTTAGGACACGTTTATGATACACCACTGCACATCTATCAGTACATCACAGATGATGATAGACGCAGTTATATGTACACTGTAATACAGAAAAAATCAGAGAAAAAAATCACGGACACACGGTTTATTGAAGATTTATTTATTTACTTATTTATTCATATTTATTTATATTTAAGCAATTTTTATTAGTCAATTTACATTTGTTGATTTTTGTTTCGTTTATTCACATATCACTTCAGCAATTTTTATTTCACATAATAAGATGTTCACTTAGAGATATTTATATATTTATCATTTTTATACCACTTATTTAATAAGTCATTGTTGGATTCTCACTTCACTCCAGGAGACCCATAGCGCTCACTATTCTAAAACCTACACAATACCATTGCCTCACCAAGACCACTCACATGAGTCCATTTCTGTCAATGGAGCACACAATCTCTCCACATGTTTCTAAACGTGCCTATTACAGCTACCGTCTGTCCTCACATAGCATTTGTAGAAGTGATTCTTGCAGATAGTTTATGAGCTGTCAACCTGCAGCAAATGTGTTGACCTTACAGACTTTCTTCAAAGAACATTTAAAGGAGAACTATGAGGTGAGTGATTTTCACTCACCCTCATAATCTTAGCCGACCTGTGACAATGAAACTGCCACAGGTCGGATCAGTAGATCGGGAAGTGAGCGAACACATACCGTCGCTCGCTCACTTCTCGGTCTATCCCTGCAGCGAGCCGTGACTCACTCAGGGCTCCCTGCAGGGATTCCCCCCCTCCCCGCTCCGATCCTCCAGCGCTGACTGGTGGAACGGACAGGGGAGGGGGCGGGCACAGCTGGCTCTCCCTCTGGATAGGCAGAGCCAGCTGTCACTCACGCAGCTGGGTAGATCTCGACAGCAATGTCTGGATCCGTCCTGGCTGCGGCGTCTCCGTATACTGAGCTTTGGGTCACGGGAGAACGCTAGTTGTGACCCTTAGGAGAACTATGGGGAAAAGCCCTGACCCCATAGTTCTCCTTTTTAAAGATGGTTATTTTCATCCTTGTGCTGCATTGTCATGTGTGCACCTCTCTGCTAAAGGCTTCCTTTTTTAAAATGTTCAATTGCTGCCCTTTATAAAGTCAATGGTGGGCAGTGTTTACGTCTATTGTGCCGTGCAGCTCACAACCACAGCCACCAGATGGTGCTGTCTTCTCATCTTCCTAAAACTGCATGCCACGAATATAGAATTCAACCTGTGCCTATGTTCTATGGCATAACACACACATCATATACCGGTAAGGGACAGTTGGGGCATGGGCCGCTGAATTTGGAGGCAGCTAGATTTTTCATGAGCGGGAAATCTTCTCTGTAACATTAAAGCTGTCTGTGTCTAAGATGAGTGACTGCCAAGAGGAAATGACTGGAGCTTGTAGTAATGTTAGTAGACAAGGTCTCTAGGCTGTCTGGTACTATGTGCTCATCCTACTCGTCTATTTTTCTGCAGTGTTTTAGCTTAAAGGAGAACTATGAGGTGAGTACTTTTCACTCACCTCATAGTTCTAGCCGACCTGTCACAGGTCGGCTCAGTAGATCGGGAGGTGAGCGAACACATACAGGCGTTCGCTCACCTCTCGATCCTGTCACGGCTCTCTGCCGTGACAGGGGAGGGGCTGAATTCCCCGCTCCAATCCGCCAGCGCTGACTGGCGGAACGGATGGGGGAGGGTACAGCTGGCTCTGCCTCTAGATAGGCAGAGCCAGCTGTCAGTCACGCAGCTGGGCGGATCCAGACATAATTGTCGGGATCCGCTTCAGCGGCGGCGTCTCAGTATACCGCGAGCAGCAGCTCACGCTATACTGAGCCTAGGGTGACGGGAGGACGCTAGTTTGTGTCCTCCCGTTACCCTAAGGAGAACTATGGAAAAGCCTTAACCCCATAGTTCTCCTTTTAAAGAGAACTTCACTTGGGCTAAAACTTCTAATCAACTATTGATAATATGTACTATTTCATTCTCGATGGTGAGCTGCTACGGCAGCTAATGTATTGAAAGTGTATCTAAACTAGGGATGCACCGATACCGGTATTTCGGTATCGAGTACCGATATTTTTTTTCCGATACCGAGTACCGGAATTCCCATTCAGGAAGTCAGGTGGCGTGTAAAGACTCGCCACCCGGCTTCCTGATTAGCAGGGAAGCCGTCCCCATGCTTCTCGTCACTTGCATGGAGCTCGCTTTCTGGCCAGTCAGGAAGCCGGGCGCTGTGCAATGACGCGGCGCCCGGCTTCCTGACTGGCCCGGGAAGCCAGGCCCATGCTCCCTCGTTATGACGTGACGAGGGAGCATGAAGCTGGCTTCCCGCCCAATCAAAAAGCCGAGCGCCGCGTTTCCTGATTGGCCAGCTTCTGACCAATCAAGAAGCCAGGCAGCGCATGATTACACGCTGCCCGGGTTCCTGATTGGCCGGGAAGCCGGCTCCATGCTCTCTCGTCTCAAGTGTAATCACGTGCTGCCCGGCTTCCTGATACCGGAAGTATCGGGCTAGGCATCGGAGCATTTGGACAAGTACGAGTACTCACCCAAATACTTGGCATCGGCACCGATACTAGTATCGGTATTGGTGCATCCCTAATCTAAATCCCTTTTATGTGGTGGATGTGTTAGTTTTCCTTTTCAGCCTTTTTTTCCCCTTTTATTTTCACCTGGTGATCTTGTGAACAACACATTCCTGTCCCTGGGTGGCTTCACTTACTTCTGCACTGTATCTGTGGAGGCAGCCCTAGTTGTCACACAGACGAGACCTCAAGCATGTTTGCCTTTGTTCATCTCAATTAGTAAACTACTAGTCCTCTAATTGACTGGATTAGTAGTGTACGCAGTAAAGATAACATTATTTAATTCTTCCAGTACAGCTGACAAGAAGTGACAAGCACACAGGACTTCTGGCAAGATCAACGGGTATCTTTTGTACTAACCGAAAATTAGGGATGCACCGATACTAGTATCGGTGCCGATGCCAAGTATATGGGCGAGTAGTCGTACGCGTGCCCGGGTTCCTGATTGGCCAGAAAGCCGGCTTCATGCTTTCTCGTCACCTAGTGACGAGAAGCATGGGGACGGCTGCCCTGCTAATCAGGAAGACAGGTGACGAGTCTTTACACGCCGCCCGGCTAATCAGGAAGCCAGATGGCGAGTCATTACACGCCGTCTGGCTTCCTGAACGGGACTT